GGGTTCGACGGAACCCAGCGTCGGGTTCAAAGGAACCTTAACGCCTGGGTTCCAAGGAACCCAGGAACCCATGACCCCAATGGAAAGACAAAGGGAAGGAGAAAGGGAAAAAAAAAAAAAGAAAAGAGTTTTTTAAGTTTTTTTTTTGTCATATTAATATTTCTTACCATATTATTATTTTTTTTATATCACTATTGTTTGCCATGGTGTCTTCCACGTGTTTTGACATGTCATAGTGTTACCGTGAATTAATATGACACGTCATGTGATTTTTAACGGAGGGACCAAGTCGGGGTTAAAATGGTAAACAGTATGGACCAAGTCAAGGATTTTTTGAGTTAAGGGACTCAATCGGGGGTCCGTACGATAGTTGAGGGACCAAAAAGGGGGTTTAACCTAAGTTTTTTTTAGCATTGTATTGAATATTTTTACCTATTAACTTGTGTTTTAAGTTGAGTTTTTGATCTTTGTTTGTAATCCTCTTCGTGTTCTACTTGTGTGCAATGTTTCAAAAATCGGACCAGATTGGTCGGTTGAACCAGTTGGACCGGTACTTGGTACAATAAACGGGTCAGGTCAAGGTTTAAAACCAGTAAAGTGGTTGAACCATTCAAAACCGATAGAATCGTTCAGATCGATACAAACCGTTAAATCGTTCAACCAGACGGTTTAAATCTTTGGTTAAATACCCTTTTTTGTCCTTTTACTATAAGAAAAAGCCACTTTTTGGTCCTTATACTAAAAAAATCCCCTTTTTGATCCCTAAATTTTAAAATCCAACCCCTTTTTAGTCCCTCCGTTAATTTTTGCTCACATGGTACGTTAACTTAACTGAAACAGTTGACGTGGATATGCCAATGTGTAAAAGATGCTTACATGGACTTAAATTTGGTCCCTCAACTTTATAAGTTTGCACTTTTTTTGTCCTTAAATTATTTTTTTCACTTTTTTATCTTTTAACTCTAAAAATTGCACAATTTTGGTCCATCCATCAGTTAAGCATGACGTGACAGTTAAATAATTCCATTTGACATTTTCTTTTAATTTTTTTTATGATAAGGCAATTATATATATTATAATTATGTTATATAAATAAATAAAAATATCACGTAGATAAATATTTATATTTTAATTAAAAAATAAAAT